CTTCCAATCTCTCTTAATGCGTTCATTCGTTATTCATACGAGAGTCTTGATTTGCCTGCTGCTCTCCTCCAAAAATTCATCTCTAGCTTCTAGTATTCGCTTTGTTGTCTTTTTAATTGGCCATGCTTCACAGCTGTATGTGATTATCTTGATGATTTTTTGTTTGTGTTTCTGTCGCACAGTATCCCATTTAATACCGTAATAGCATTCTTTCCAAGTTGGTTTCATTCTTTAATTACTGCAAAATTGATGCAAATATTTGTACTGTGTGCAGCACTTGATTTGTTTCCCTTCTAGTACTACGTTCTCTTCGATATTCATATACAGGGTGGTCCGAACTGTATTCCGGAAACTTTGGCAGCGTATTCCACAGAAAAAATAAATAAAAAGGTTTGTATATATGTATGTTCTAAAATGCTTAGTTTCAGAGATACAGGGTGTAGAAGTTTCATTTTTATTTCGATTTTTACCAAATAATTTCTGAAGTAACGTCAATATTTGGATGAAAATCGGTGTCTGTTAGTTTTTTCACATGAGAAATTTGATTTTGAAGTCAATATAACTCCTATTTGTACGGGGCGTCACCGATATGTGTTTTAACTCTTTTGAAGAGAAATAACTTTTCGTCCGTCCCTGTATAAAACAACTGAGTGAAAAAATATATATTTCCGTGATTTTTTACGTAAATACAATTAATTACAAGCAACCGTTCTCAAGATATTTAGAATGAAAATAGTCAATACATATCTTTATTGACAAAAAATAATATGTTGAGTAGATAGTTTTTCATTGAAATGATAAATTTGAAAACTTTTAATTTTTTTAAATTAATAGTAAATTTTTCTTCGAAAAACTGATGATAAAACAATTTCTGTTGAACTTTTGGCACAAATACATTTCGTATTTATGATTTCAGATTAATAACTATTTAGCCAACATGTTTAATTTATGTCATTGATGACAGGTATTGATAATATCGGTTCCAAATATCTCGAGAATCATTACTCGTAACGATTTTTACCAAGAGACTTTTTTTACGTAGAAAATGTTGTAATTTCAAAAAACTCCCAGCCACCAATTGTCATCCTAATATTAATATTACTTTAGAAATTATTTGAAAGTAATAGAAATAAAAATGAAACTTCTACACCCTGTATCTCCGAAACTAAGCATTTTAGGACATACGTTTATACGACCTTTTTACTTATTTTTTCTTCTGCAGAATATACCGCCGAAGTTTCCGGATTACAGTTCGGACTACCCTGTATATTGTGTTTTGTTAGTATTGATCTCGAGTCCCCATTTCTGATATTCTTCTATAAGATTTTGCGTCATATAATTTATGCCATTGTAATCTTGTGCTATGAGCACCTGATCGTCCGCGAAACAGAGTTTTGTTTAAAAAATACCAATTTAATTGCTTTGACAGATCATGCCCATTACTTTAAATTTCTAGGACTTTATATTTTTAAAACCATATTTTCAAAACTTCAATTGTGTGAGGCCTTTTACTACGTTCAGTAGATTCAGTCAACCCTGCTCTTAAAACATAATAATATTATTTTATTTCTTGCCAAGAAAATATCTTTTATATTCAAAGGCACGTTCTCTCAAGAGAAGCTTACGTTTATTGAATTTTTGAGTACCGAATTGGAATAAAATTTGAAAAGAAAGTGTCGTTTCCAGGAATAAATATCTCCAAACATCAATCGAATAAAGCGCAAAGTCAGAGTTTAAGAGATATATTTTTATATAAATATATGTTTGTCAATTTTTTGAAACAACCTGAAGCAACATAACAATCTGCAATTTGGAGTTTACATTTTTTTGAATATTTTTATATTAATTAGGAAAACATACAAGAATTAGAAACATTGAATAAATAATTTAAATCTTTCAATGTTCGACAATTCAGGATGACTCTAAACAATATTTTGATAAACAAACAAGTGACCTGGTACGATTTTATTTCTGCAGAGTGCTTTAACTCTGTTTATTCAGAAATGCATCTACAGGGTTGTTCACCACATACGACACTGAGTATTGTAGCTAAACGATTAGATTTTTACAAATTGTAAGTTTTGGGTTCGTTGAAGGACTATTAGAGCTACAATTTAAAAATATTTTTACAAGATACAGAGTGTCCCAAATAAATAAAAAATATCAAAGTTGTATTTTTTTAAATGGAACACCCTGTATATTACTATATTTTTAGTTTCTACGATTAAAATAAAGGTAAATTTGATTAAGGTTTATTACACTAAAACCTTACCGTTTTTGACATATTTTCAATTTTGCGAAATTGCAGTATAAATTTTAAGGCTTCATTTCTCCGAGGATATCAAAGTTTTTAATACTAAATATTTACTGAAGTTTATTTATTGATCAGTTATTGTGTTGCAATAATAAAAATTATACTACCTTATACAGAGTGTCTAAAAATTTATTTTAAATAATTACTAGCTCTAAACGGCAATAACTTATTTACTTTAAATAGAACACCCTGTATATCTTATGAGAATCAGATGCACAATTTAATTGTCTATCAAATTGTATTATACCTATTCTTTCAAGTTTTCATAGAAAATGCATTTTCTTATAATTTATACCACATTTATCAATATACCCATGGAATATTGACATTTTAGATTGTTTTTAAAACAACAAATGTACAAAATCTACAGGCTAGTAATATTATCGTTTTTAGTAAAACTATAATATTACTAGTCCATTTGTATACAAAAAGAAAACTATTTAAATCTTTATAAAAGACTATACTATTAATTAAATACACCACTAGTATTTCCGCCCAAATACTAATTAACTACATACTTAATTGTGTTCGTTAATAAATTATTCTAAATAAATGTGGATTTGAATCAGAAATCAATATGATAATAAGGTATGAAAATGAACGTCTCTGTTGTTATAAATAAGCATTTGTCAAAAAATTAAATATAATTTTTAAGGTGTTACTTTTTACCACACTGTCTAATACACATACATAATTCAGTTTTTTAGTATTTGGAGCAATTATTATTAATCAACGCAAACAGTCAATTAATGTAATTCGAATACTGGACTCATATTAATTGGTCCTCTTTAACAAATATTTAAACAGTTTTATTTATGTTTTAATGAAATGAACGAACTATATCGACAATATTAGTATTTGTACTCTTTAAAAATTTGGTACATCTTTAAAAATAACCTAAAATGTCAGTATTCCATGGGTATATTGATAAATGAGTTCTAAATTACAAGAAAATGCATTTTCTACGGAAACTTGAAGAGATAGGTAAAAAACGGTATAACACAATTTGATAGACAATTAAATTGTGCATCTGATTCTCATAAAATATACAGGGTGTTCCATTTAAATCAAACAAGTTATTGCCGTTTAAAGCCAGTAATTATTTAAAATAAATTTTTAGACACTCTGTATAAGGTAATAAAGTTTTTATTATTGCAACACAATAACTGACCAATAAATAAACTACAGTAAATATTTAGTATTAAAAACTTTGATACCCTCGGAGAAATGAAGCCTTAAAATTTATACTGCAATTTCACAAAACTGAAAATATTTCAAAAACGGTAAGGTTTAAGTGTAATAAACCTTAATCAAATTTACCTTTATTTTAATCGTAGAAACTAAAAATGTAATAATATATAGGGTGTTCCATTTAAAAAAATACAACTTTGATATTTTTTATTTATTTGGGACACTCTGTATCTTGTAAAAATATTTTTAAATTGTAGCTCTAATAGTCCTTCAACGAACCCAAAACTTACAATTTATAAAAATCTTGTCGTTTAGCTACAATACTCCGTGTCGTATGTGGTGAACAACCCTGTATATGGTGTCTTCTAGTTGTTAATTGGTTTAGTAGATTTATCTTTTTGCATATGTCTATACAGCTTGTCCCAGAAATAAGTGCAAGTATTTTAACTGGTAGTATAGTTCAACCCCAGAAACACGATATTTTTTTAGTTTTTAGTTAAAAACATAATTTCTTGATAATATGGCAATATAGGTATTAGATTAAATTTACAAGAAAGAAAATCCAGAAAAGATCCAGTGGTTCTCAAAATTTTAGCAAAAAATCATTTTTTTGGAAATTTTCAAAGTAAAATAACTCCGTTATTTTGGACTTATTTGAAAAACAATAAAGAGAAATGTTTCTTTTATCGAGATCTACCACCCCTTAAAATACTTGCACTTATTTCTGGGACATCCTGTATATTTCTTATTTTTAGACAACAAATAGAGTAAATAAACATAATTTAATATTTTCTTACTATTTTTGATCAACGTATTATTTGTTACATTTCAAAAGACCAAGCAGTACTCTAAGGAAAAACCATTCATTGCAAATCAGATTACGTTATAGCACAAAATAGGAAATAACGTTATAGTTTGTGGAGAGATCTTTCGAATGGATTTCCTCAGTGACGTATTCGTATGGTCGGGTAGAAAATAGGATTAACTTTATTTTTCTCGAGCGTTCTATAAGTAGATATTCTATAAGCGAGCAAATATATATCAAAAATGAAGTGGGAAACTGTTTATTTCATTCTTATCTAGATTTTTACTTTACTTAGTTGCCTTAAAGGTGTAATATTTTAAAAAGTCGACGTAAACTGCATATTTCTATGTTCTCTCTAACGGGAGATATTAAGAGAACAAATTCTAAGAAACAAAAATACTATATTAGTATAATTAAAAGTATAAGTAAAGTATAGGAAACTAAAAAAGGTAGTGGTAACTTTTAATTGACGGACTCAGGCATGTTAAATCCGGTTATCTAGCCGGCCATGAAAATATACCGCCTATGCTGCCTATGCATCTACCAAAAAAGATGTTATCCAAGAAGTTCCATACATTCATTGAGAAACCAACCGGACCACCATCATACTGAAATGGCACACTCCCTATTATAAGTTGGATAGTGTTAACGAACAAAGAACCAAGCGCCATTTCGCCAAAATCAAGTTTTCTTGACAGACTGGTAAACAAATACAATATCTTATGATTTTAAAAACAGCCACCCGTAAAATTAGAAGTACTGCCATCTAGCGACAGAAATTCCACCTTTGATGTCAGCCATTATTAAAATCTCATTTTTGAAAAAAGAACCACACGTTGCACGTGCTATGATAATGTTGTGCCGGTAAATGTTCTTTTTTAGTGCTTCCTTGTAGATAACATAGTAAAAAAATGATGTCAAGAGGATAAAAGATGCTGCAGATGCTTGAGGCTGAAAATATTTTAGAGGTAAGTAAAGATTTAAATAATATTTTTGTATAATAACCTAAAATTATATACATCTGTGGTTCCATTTTAAATAACCTAATTTTGATATGTGCGGCGTTTGGTTCCTTTAAGACGTTGTTTGGTTCTTTTTTAAATAACGTGGTTTTTAAAATTTAAAATTTTATTTGTTTTAACTTAGCACGTTTTCTACATACTACATGATATATACATATTTTTTTTATTTTAGAGTCGCACTGACCAAAGTAATGAATTGACGAAAGAAGAAACAACACAAGTGTCTATTTCTTCTAATAATCAAATAAAGGTAGATCGTACAAATTGTTATTAAAATATAGTGAACAAACTTGTTTTTTAGATTCTTTCTACTACTTTCGACGATATAAATAACCAAAACAATAATCAGCAACTGAGCTATTCAGAATCAGCATTGATGATAGAAACCGATCGGGTAAATATTTTTTATTTTATTTTTAAAGAAACTAAAACATATAAACCAAATATTTTAACTAAATAATTATTTACATATCCACATTTTAGGAAGAATTTGAAAATTTTGAGAATGATGTAGAGGATGATAGAGATCCCGATTTTATTTATTCATCTTCGGAATCTTCAGACGAAGAGAACGATAGCCCTAATGTAAATGCAACAAAAGAAGGCAGGCCAAGGAAAGGTCGAAAACGAAAATATCCTGAACAAACGGATAAAAGTCGTAAAATTTTAAAAAATTCAAACTCTCCTCATACTTCAAAAAGAGGTACAGCCATAGAAAAAAAAGAGTTTCTCGATTATCGTTGCAATTGCTTAGATAGATGTTATGAAAAAGTTAATCAGGAAGGACGTAAAGCCATCTTTGAGAAATTCTGGCAAGCTGGCTCGTATACTCTTCAAAATTCCATAATATGTTCTTCGGTAAAGGAGAACCCAATAAAGAGAAGACGAGCAAATGGAAATCTAAAACGAAATTTTACAAGGACATATTATTTGGAAAGCTTTCCAGTATGCAGAGATTTATTTGTCCGAACGTTACACATTTCAACAAAAAGGGTTAACACGGCTCTTAAAAAATCTAGAACACTTGAACTGCAGGATAGTCGTGGAAAGCACCAAAAGCATTTTAAAATTTCTGATATTCAAAGGCAAGAAGTTGTGAACCACATAAAAAAGATTCCCAAGTACAAATCCCATTATCGGCGTGAGCAAACTGATCGAGAATACCTACCTATTGATATGACCATAGAATGTATGTATAACCTATATAAATTAGAAGTTAATAATCCGGTAAGCCTATCAACCTATAAAAAAATATTTTACTCCGACTTTAATATAACTAGAAAAAAACTAAAAAAAGATACATGCAACAAATGCGACACACTAAGTGCACTTAGTTCTTCAGGTAATATAGATCAGTACAAAAAAGCAGAATTTGAATGTCATTTAAAAGCTGCCAAGGCAGCAAGAGACATGATGAATAACGATTTCAAGCTTGCTAAAGAAAAAGCATATATACAGACACTATCATTCGACCTAGAAAAAACATTACCGCTACCTAGGATTCCTACAAATATAATGTTTTATAAACGCCAGTTGTGGCTGTATAATTTGGGCATCCACTCAGGAAAACAAGATAAATCTTACTGTTTTCTGTGGACGGAAGGTACTGCTGGCCGAGGTGCGCAGGAAGTTGGATCTTGTATAAAAAAATTCTGTGAAACATATTTGGAAGAAAACATAACAGATCTATATCTATGGTCAGATTCCTGCGGTGGCCAGAATCGTAACATCAAACTTTGCTTATTATTAAAATATATTTTAAATAAATCTTCATCCTTACAATCTATTTACATGAAATTTCTTGTATCAGGGCACAGTTTCTTACCTAATGATTCAGATTTTGGCGACATTGAAAGGGCGTTAAAATACCAGCAGCGACTGTATACGCCACAGGATTACATTAATGTCATAAAGACCTCGAGGAAGAAGAGTCCTTTTACAATACATACCATGAATAATGATGATTTCATATCATCTGAGATATTAGAAAAAAATATTGTTAATAGGAAAAAGGATATCATCGGTGAGAAAATAAACTGGTTAAATGTCAGAGAAATAAAAATTAATAAAAATTCACCCTACAGCATATTCTTTAAATTCGCTTACGATGAAGATGCCTATGTAGAGGTTGATATTAAGCCAAAACAAAAAGGCAAACAGTCAGAAGTGTTTAGTCTGAATTTGCCAGTACTTTACCCTAATGGAAAACCAGTCTCAACACCCAAACTGAACGATATTAAATCCATCATGCATCTTATTCCAGAAGCAGATCAAGGCTTTTATACTTCCCTTATATCTAGTGAAGAAGTTGTAGATGACATCGATGGGTATAACGGAGATTTAGATTTTGAGTGTCAAGAAGACTAAAAATTCCATGGTTTTGTTTATCTTTAAAAAATAATTTCAATTAAGTGTTCATAATTGAAATTATTTTTTAAATGTTTATTTTTTTTATTTGGCCAAAGATATACCAAATATATAAATATTTATGTTCAATTTACTATATTATGTTTAATACATATTTTTGTTAATATTTTTGTGAATATATTTGTAAAAATAAAGTTGATATCTTTTCTTGAACACTGTCTACAATAGAAAAATTTGGATTAGTAAGCATTTTACATAATATTGTAAAACCTTTGTTACGGCATTTGAAGTTTTCTAAAAAAGAACCATCCTATGTTTCATATACATTAAGAAAAAAAAATCAAGATAAATGAAGAATATCTAATTTAAAGTTTATAATAGGGAACCATATATGTAAATCCTACACTTTAATAGTAATTGAAGACTGTATTTCTTTAACAGGGGGTTTTTGTGGAAGGAACCAGGCGTTTGGTTCCCTTTTTTTTATTGCACTATAATATTAGTATGAATGAACCAACAGAAAAAGGCATGTAATAGTTTATAATTTCCTATAAATATAGCGTTATTTGGTTATAAATAGGTTATATAATAAGCCTATAAACGCAACTTTCAAGAAAAAGTCTGTATACTTATTTATAATCTTGTTTGAACCCATAAAATAATTTACTTAAATATCTCCGAATTAAAAATTGGTGCTTGGATCTTTGTACGTTAACACTATCCAGTTGTAGATAGTTCCCAAGCAGCATTTGGACGTCGGGACAACGTTGTGTCACGCGACCAAACGTCGGGCCTCAACGTCGGCACAACCTCGTACCAACCCTAGTCTGCACTAGTTTGGAGAATAATTTTTGGGTCGAAACGACGTTGGATACCGACGTTGGCTAGCAGCCTAATTTAGTACAAACTTCAACGTTGTTTAAAATCCTAATTCACAGAAATACAAAACTATAATAATATGGCGTCTAAGTCGCGTTTTATCCTAAATTGGGATAATTATAGTAAAAATATTATTTTTATGATTTAGTTAGAGACATATGCCGGATGGCAGAAAAGGAAAACAAAACAAAAGTATTTAAGTGTGGAGGATGTTTGAAGATCATAATTATTGAAACACTAACCGACTCTGTAACTCGTTACCCAAGGCAAAAAAGTTAAACGAAAACAACTTTATTGATAAATATATTGTTTCTACTTTGAAAAATACTAATGGGCCTTAAAATTAAAGAAGTTTTAAAAAATTTCTTGAATTTTTTTTAGTAAAATGAGAATAATTTATTCGCAGTCGAAAAAATTGTTTCCGCGTGGTGTTTAGGGCCAAATATTTCAAGTTAATGTATTCAAAAAGCAGGAATTGCTATTTTAGGAACGAAACATTTTCTTATTCAACAACATGGCGACTTTCACTTTGTTGTTTTGGAGATTAAGATGGAGTAGTTCGAGTAGTCGCATACTGGACTAATAAAGTCGCAGTTCATCCTTAACAGGTAGTATACTAGTCGCAAGATTGCCTAATTTAGTCATCCTAGAATCTAGCTTGTGCCGCCCTCTATATTCTAAATAAACGAGGGAGTGAATAAAGTATCGGTAATATGTCGATATATATTTAAATTTAGTTTTATATGTACCTTTCTTATGTCCCATTTTAATTAAGTTTTTTTATAAAAACAAAAACAGCACCGAACTGTCTGATGAACAGAACAATGAAGTGAAAATTTAAGATTTAAGGTTATGGTTCAATACAGTTGCAAAAAGGTAGTGGCTCGACGTCCTACCAACGTAAGAATAAGGAAATCTAAACAACGTTGAAATTAGTAAAACAGACGACGTTTGCATAACGTTGGAATAGGTCCTGAAAGTGACGTCGGAAAACTCTTTATTGCCCAACATTGTAACTACGTTGTCCGAATCACCTAAAGATCACTTAAGCAAAAAAGGTTACAAGACAACGTTTATTCGACGTCGCAGAAGCTTTTACTTTGCTGTAGTACTAGTTCAACGTCGGCACAACGTTACAACAACGTTTACATTTATTTTAATACCCAAGGTACGGAGCTAACTATTTTTTGTAACTAATCCAACGTTGTGTTTAGTAAACATGTGGTCGCAAGTCGTGAAAATGCTACTTGGGTTGATTCCATTCAGTTTATTAAGAATAAACGATTTAATAATTCGTCTCCTAGAATTCCTGCCTAAACATTTACCGACTAACGACCTTGGTATTAGAATATTTGCATCCACTTTGTATTTGTTTTGGACCAGTGTTACATATTGTTGAAAATCACACCTTCGTTGTTATATTAAAAGTGAGCCGAACAATAGAAACTTAATAAAAATAACAAGAAAATGTAAACAACAGGTAAAACACGAACCGCAAAGAAAAGAACGAACAAACCTGGAAAATAGCAACTAAACGATATTAACATGAACTTCTTTTTTAATACCGATTTTTTATGTATGTTATATTAATTTGCTTCATTTCGCTTTCTGGAAATTAAAATAATCAACGTAAATCCCGACTTTATACAGGGTGAGTTTCCTATCATGTCCTCTATGGGTATCTCGGAAACTACTGGAGATAGAGAGTCGGTTAAATGGGGAAAGAATTGCAGTTTTGTGGGGTCATAAATATGCGCCTTTCAGATTTTTAAAAAAGTTCATGGCTTACTAGATATTTTGAAAAAAACAAATTTCGGCTATTTTAAAAATTGTCCCTAATTCCATTATAAGCTATTTTAGAAAAAAAGTTTTCAGATAAAAGTTGTAGATAATCACATCCTTAATGAGACTGTGTCCTCCGTTTTTTTCTAAAACCTGTCACTTTTGACATATGACACAAACATAGGTTTTTTTAAATGGAAACCATAGTTGGCCATGACTTCATAAAAAGCGCCATTTTTTAAGCTTTTTAGTGATATAAGCTATAATATCTTTTCTTTGAAAAATTACGAGTTATAGCCAATTCTTATCATTTTTAAACAATTTCACTTATTTTAATTTACAAAGTTTGGATGTGACAGCTTCACATTTCTGAGAGCAATGGCGATTGAACTTGTTTCCATGGCTACCTAAGTGAAATTCTTTAAAATGATAAGAATTGGCTATAACTCAGTAATTTTTCGAAGAAAATATATTATAGCTTATATCACTAAAAAGCTTAAAAAATGGCGCTTTTTATGAAGTCATGGCCAACTATGGTTTCCATTTAAAAAAACCCATGTTTGTGTCATATGTCAAAAGTGACAGGCTTTAGAAAAAAACGGAGGACCCAGTCTTGTGATTATCTATAACTTTTATCTGAAAACTTTTTGTCTAAAATAGCTTATAATGGAATTAGGGACAATTTTTAAAATAGCCCAAATTTGTTTTTTCCAAAATATCTAGTAAGCCATGAATTTTTTAAAAATCTGAAAGGCGCATATTTATGACTCCACAAAACTGCAATACTTTCCCCATTTAACCGACTCTCTATCTCCAGTAGTTTCCGAGATGCCCATAGAGAACATCGTAGGAAACTCACCCTGTATAAACTCTAAACTAGATGATTTCTTCAAAACATTAACGAATATTTCCCTAATTAAATCTGAATTAGAAACACTCTTGATCAGGCTAGAGCTCGACAATGAGAAAAAGAACAATGAGATACACTCAGAACAGAAATCAGCATCAACAACGACGGGGATGTCCCATTGCCGAAGTTCTGAGAAAAAAGGAATTGACCTCTTGGAGATTAAACTGCAGAAGACATTCCAACAATGTTCGGAGCCCATGTCCAATAGGAACCAAAAAGTGATAAGACGCGATTGTCCGATATCATTTCTTAAGAAATTGAATCATATGTAAATGGTGGTATTCAGGGACGTAATTTTGAAAAGGGATTCAAAATTGTATTAACCATTTAGGCTACAAGAGTTGAATCTGAGAGATGTTTCTCTTCGGCAGGTTTTTTTTATGTAATAAAATACGTTGACACTGAGAGATGAAAATTTGGACGCATTAATAGTTTTGCGTTATTCTTTTTTAACCTTATAGACCTAAAACTATGCTAGAGAACAGGATAATCACATCGGACATAGGAAACAGATCAACCAAAAAGCGCGCAACAAGAGGCACGCCACAAGGAGGGGCATTATCACCTCTGCTGTGGTTGATTGTAATGAACCCGATCCTGACCTCTCTGACAATAAAGGGAATTAGGATGAAGGCATATGCAGACGACGCCGACGGCGAATGGGTAATACTGATTGTGGGTAAAGACTTGCAGACGATCAGTGACATCATGGAATCTTCTCTGAAAAAGCTAACGGAATGGGCAAAAAGTAATGGTTTGGGCATCAATCCAGTCAAAAACGAACTCATTCTATTTACAAGAAAATACAAGATACCCAAGTTACGCTACCAAAGCTGGAAGGGAAGACACTTGTACTTGCTAGGGAAACAAAATATTTAGGAATCATTCTGGACTCCAAGCTTTCATTTTTTTTCCTTTCTTTCTTTTTACCCACAACTTTATTTTATGAGATCAAGCAAGTTACGTCAAAAAAATACCAATTTTTAATACATATTTTTGAGAAAAATCTTGTTTTCTAATTAGCCGTAACAAATACGCTTTCTGGTCGACATTTTTTGAATTTGAAAATAATTTACAGGGATTTCTCTTTTAGAATAAGAGACTCAGAAATTTACTTATGAGATTTTTTTTCTCCAAAGCTGTACGCTGTTTTTGAGTTAAAATCCGGTGTCCATTCTTAGCTGATCACCCGGTAGTCTACAAGTATTGCGTAAAAATTGTTCTTAAATAATATACAGGGTGATCCGAATTGTATTCGGGAAACTTCGGCAGTATATTCTGCCAGATAAAAATAAATAAAAAAGCTCGTATAAATTAATGTAATATGCTAAAATGCTTCGTTTCAGAAATACAAGATGTAGAAATTCGAAATATGCTGGGAGTAATGAAGAGAGATCGTAAAAGAATAGACTGGATACGACAAAAGACCCGAGTAATAGGTGTAATACAGAGAGTCAAATCCCTCAAATGACAATGGGCAGGACACCTGGCGCCCCCTAGAAATAGGAGTCATATTG